ATTAAATTATATATCAGAAATACAACATTTTTTTTATTCAAGTATTGTTTTATTTTTTTTATATTAATGATTCTTTTTTTTTAGACTTTAAATTTACTATTAAATTCATAAGTAAAGATTCTTTTAGTAATAATATTTGAAAATTTATTTCTTTCTATTTGATAATTATTAATTATAAAACTATTTTGATATCTATAGACTTCAAAAAAGTTTCAATTTCATTCTAAGAAAAAAAAGTCATATTTAGATTAATATCTTTAGAAGTAATTTTATACAAATAAGTATAATTATATCATTTGAAATTTTTTGATAAGAATTAATAAAATCATTAAAAATATCTTTACTATAATATTTATTTCTTTTATTAATAATAAAATCAAGTAAAGATATAAAAGTTTATATTCTTAAAAAAAAGATTCATATGATTTTAAAGATTATTATAATTTTTTAGTATATAAACAAAATAATAAGATAATTAATTAAAGTTGTAAATTTTAATAATAATACTAATCTAATTGATTTTTAAAGTTATATATATTTATAATAAAAAGAAGAAAGTTATTATAATAAATAAAATGTTAAAGGAATTAAATACTTGAGAAAAAATATAAAAAATAGAAGAAAAATATTAGAAAAAAAAGTAAATATAATAATCAGAATATAATTTTATCAGTAGCTTAACTAGAGAATGATTTTATTGATTATTGTTTAGTAATTTTATTAATTAAAGTATAATTAAATTATATTATGGCATTTATTATATAGTTTATAAAATTTTATAATATAAAAAATGATTATATCATTATTTATAAAGAAGCAATATTGAATTAATACCATTTTTACAATTTTATATAATTTATTTATAAAGTGATAATTTTAAGAATCATGATCTATAATATAAATATTTATTTTATTTATTATATATGTTATTATTATTACATAATATTTTATTTAACTATATTCTCTTTCTAAACTATTCTAGCTATCTGTTATTAATGATTTAAAGTATTACTTCAGTAAATTCAATTTTAACAAACAACTTTTTAGCTATCTAAAAATAAATAATTAAAACTAATAAAGAAAGATTAAAGTTGAGATCAGATTAAAAGATGCATTTATAAAGGGTGTGCATTTATAGAGGGTTGACTGTATTTATTCATTATAGGTAACAATAAATGATAAAGACTCACAAATCCATCAATATCTTTTCACAATATAGACGAACTTGTTCTCATTATTTCCCTCAATCTTTAGCATAATACCCTCCTTGAAAGCTTCACCTGATTTCTATAAAATGAGCAGAAGGACGTCAAAATATATTCCAATCTGATACTAATTAATATCTATGAGAACTTACTTTTAAAGCGATTTTAAGATAGCTCCCAATTTTGATACACATAGGTAGCATCTGAACATGAACTTTGATATATTTTAAAGACTGTCCCATTGTATCAAGGTAGCTAACATACAATAGTATTCAAAATATACTTGTTCTAGATTAGATGCTTTCTTTGAATATGAAACTCACCAAATAACACTCATTATATATTTATTGCTTGTTCAGAGTATGAACAAGAATATCATCATTTCGTGATATTTTTACTCCATCTTCCTTGCTGTATTTCTAAATAGTAATAGTATCATATAAAATAAATTTACTACATCTACATTTTTAGTAATTAAAAAAAATTCATCGTATCATAACTAAATTCCCTAAATTTGTTGCTATTTCGGATTCATTATTGAATAA